CCAACCCCGCATCCACCCCCCCAACCCCGCATCCACCCCCCGTGGGGCCAGGCGAGGCCGGGGGGGTCCGGGGGTGCCCCTCTCCATCCCCCCGGCAAAGCAGGATTTGGCTTTAAGCACAGAATCACAGAATGGTTTGGGTGGGAAGGGACCTTAAAGCCCCCCCAGTGCCACCCCCTGCCCTGGGCAGGGACACCTCCCACCAGCCCAGGTTGCTCCAAGCCCCCTCCAACCTGGCCTTGAACCCCTCCAGGGATGGGGCAGCCACAGCTTCTCTGGGCAACCTGGGCCAGGCTCTCACCACCCTCACACCAAACAAGTTCTTCCCCACACCTCAGCTCAATTCTATGATTGAATGATTCAACCATTCTATGATTCAATCTCCCCTCTTCCAGTGTCAAACCCTTCCTCCTCCTCCTAGGGCTCCCCTCCCTCATCAGGAGCCCCTCCTCATATTTTTTGTTTTTATATCCTTGAGCTGTAGGGACCAAAGTCCCCTTTCCCTAGGTATGAATAACACCTGGTGGGATTATAAAGAGCTTTGCCTGTTGTGATACCCTCTTTATTAGTGCTGGCAAAGTCAGGCGTGAGAAGAGAGATTCCATCTCTCCTTTTTGGTGTTTTTTTTTCTCCAAAAGGCCAGTTTACTGTAAAGACAGGAAAATAAAACAACTCCAAACAACATCTCAGTATCTGCTCTATCCTTCTGTGGCAGCACAGCTGACCTGAGTTTATCTACAAGTTTATTTACATCCACCTGTCGAATTCTATAGGGGCAGGAGATGTAATTTTGGTCACATCCTGCGCCGAGTCTGAGGACTCAAGTCCAAGGAATTTTTTCTGTGTGGGTTTCTCATTGCTGTTTTGTTGTGTCCCAGCAGTGTCATGACCATATCGGTCACCAAAAGTACAGTTAGAGGTGGGATGTCTCTCTGAATAAACAACCCAGGGTGCTGTTCCCTGGGTCTGTAAGTGTTTTGGAAGAATAAATCCGTAGGTATCAGTCTTTCCCCGCCGAGTCAAACTGGAGGTGCCTGGAATTAGGCAGCATCCCGTGGATTGAGGGTTTGTGGTTACGAGCGACATGGCTGGGGGCTGCGAGGGCTGACTTCTCACACATTAAACCAGGAACTTTCCCATGTGCATATTTTGTGGAATGTATTTATAGATAAGGGAAAGTTAAAAATGGGATAAAGTGTTTTGTGAGTATTGAAATGAACAACGAAATTTTCCCCAAACTAAAAAAGATAAAAAAAAGGTGGGAAGGGAGGGGAAAATAGGAAATGTTTTTAACATCGTAACTCTTTTTTTTTAACCTCAAAATTTTGTTTCACCTGCAAATGCTATAACTTAAAAGACTTTGAAAACTTGGAGACCTAAATTCCTCCTGACTGGACTGTTGTGTAAAGTGATTACAGCTGGATATTGGACCTAAACAAAATTCAGGTTGGGATGGATGGATGGATGGATGATGAATGGTGGATGGATGAAGGATGGGTGGAGGATGGAGATTGCTTTGCTCAAGAGATAGCTGAGGCATCCTCTTTGAAAATGGTCTGAGGGCAAATTTAGTCCCCATGGGCCTGTTTGGTTGGTAGGGTTGGGTCAGGATGAAATCCAGTGTCTTTCTGTCTCCATCTTCTGGAGGCTTGGTCCAATGTGACTACAACCTCACGGAATAATTCCCAGTGAAGTTTCAACTCTGTCAGGATACAATTGTCCATCTCCAGAAGATGCTGTGACCCTAACCATATCCAAAGTTAATGATTTAACACTTCACACCATCCTCCTCCTCACCCATCCTGGCCCACCAGGGACTCGCAGAGCAGCAAAGGACAGAGAAAAAACTCTCTGTAACAATTTCAGTGCTTCTCCCTGGCCAAAATTCCAGTGGCACTCTTACAAAACCTTATCTGATGCCAGCATTGGATGGAATAAAAAGCCCTGTTAAAAAGGCTTTTGGACACGTGCAAATGAGAGCAGCCAGATGCAAATAGCAGGCAGGCTGTGTGCGGGCTGTTGTACTTTGCATTAAAACCTCCAACTGTGGGTTGTAGTGCCATAAAACACCCTGGTGTGCCTGGTGGTGCCCACTCAACGTCCTCCAGGCCACAAGGACTGGGTGGGTTTTGTCTGAAGGAGTCCCTGTGGCTTGTGTTTCCTTCCCAGCACGGGTACAACGAGGGCAAAGGCTCTGGATGTTGGGAAGGACAAGCTGGAGGGTCAGTCTGGTGAGTGTTTGGGGCCTTATCTGCTGGGAGCACTCACATTAAGTTTCTCCTCTGTCCAGCCCACTATTTTTCCTGACCTGTCAGAAAGTGAGCTCTTTGAGACCTTATAGTGCTCCATCAAACTTAGCTGAAATTGCCCAAAAAATTCGAAATATACGGGGGAGGGCAGAGGCAGACTGTCTCACACAGAGCACACACACACACACTCGTGCCTGCGCTGCCATAGTATTAATCTTGTTTCCTTAGGAAACGAGCCTAAAAATAACCTGAATTTGATAATGCATTTGGAAGGCTGCAAAAGTGAGGCTGCCCCCGAGGGAATTGGTTGGAGGGTCCCCACAGAAAATGCTCTGCCCAGTGCCCTTGGTGAGGTGGGATCTCTGCCAGAAGCTGGGAGGCTGGAGGGATGGGGACCTTATTTTGGGGTCAGCAGGGTTATCCTGGAGGCTGTGCACCATCGTGCGGAGAGAGCTGGGGTGAGAGCTCAGGACAGGCATGGTGAGAGGAGAACAATGGGTAGGATACTGGTGCTGAGGTCTTGGGAAGCTGTGGAGAGAACACCCTTTGCTCCAGCTGCTCCATGAAGAGCTCTGGGCATGAAGCAAATACGTCAAGGTGTGTATTTACCCCGTGTCTGTGCCACTATGTCCTGGAAGACCAAGTTCAGTTGACCTCCTCTGGCCTCCCTTTGGACTGGAGAGATGGATATCAGATGGCACTTTGCTCTCCTGTTGGTGTTCAGAGGGATTAGCCTCGTTCTGCCTGCAAATTCCTGGCCACCATCATCTGAGCAAGAGTTCATCCCTCTGCGGTTCTCACTCTAGCCCCTGCACTTGCCTCCTGTGGTGAAACACTGCTGCCTTCAACAGACCTTCCCATCCCCGTAAAAACACACTGAGATGCTTCACCGCTCCGTCCTCCATGTTATCAAGACTCAAGTGGGTGCAAACATCCTCATGAGCTGAAATGGAAGGCATCCAGACCACTGCTGACATGTCCTGAGGCGACTTGAAGCGTGATCTCCAGAGAAGGGGAAGACGTTTGGCCCCACCGAAGCGACGAGGGGGGCTGGAAACTCAGAAGAAGTTGCCAAGAAGTTTTATAAACCACCCGTTACAAGCTCTTCCAAAAAAAAAGAAGGCAATGAGAATTTGG